GAGTTGGTCAAGAAAAGCCAGTGACTGCAAGGCTGTTGTGAAGTTAGAAAGGATGAGGATTTTTCACTACTTCCAGGGGAAGATTTCACAACTATCTTCCAATTTAATTTGTTCCTTAGCAACCTGCAGATGTAATGATCCTTATCTTTGTGCGTATAGATCAAACTTTAATATCACTACCTGTCAGCTTTTCTGTTTGGTAGAGGTTTTCATATTCTCACTGAAAATATTTTGCTTGCCTTTCTCTAAGCATCAAAATTACTTCAGATTCCCATAGAAACTTCCATTCCATGTTGTAGCAGATATTGTAGCCATTATTGTGTATGCTCTGTTTCCCAAAATGTCTTTCCTATATGGAGAAAATTGGATTGAATTTCATCGCTTACCTTCCTAAACCAAAACATCCTAAGGAAGCAAAAGAAATTCCCTGATGTTAGTTACAATTAGTCTTGGGATGTGTATGCTAAAAAAAGATGAATTGTAGGTACAGTTGAAAGTCTAAAGTGCAAGTTTCTTTGGCCTTCCTTTTAGAAAGGTGAGGAGTAATGACTTCATGAACAGATAGATCTCAGTGGTAAGAGAAGTGTCACAGTAGGAGTAATATGTAGGGCCATTCTTCTGCACACCCCAAGCTGAGGAATCTGTATTCTCACCCTTGTCTTGGTAGCTCAGGATGCTGTGTTGACCTGTAGGCTTCTTCCTTCCATTCCAGAAGCTTCTGAGTCTCTATTACCCAGGTAAAATTCGCTACTGTCTGTGCTCAGGAGTGAAGGAAACTCTGGTAAAAGGGATAGGTTTGTCAAATTCATGTATGTTTATGTGCAGGGGACTCTTTTACAATGTCAGCCTGATCTGGTGTGGGGCATGCACACTTTATCTAAAGTTTGTGTTCATTTCTCATGATGATTGCTAGCTGAAGTAGCTTAAGCAGGGTTTTCTTTTAAAATGCTCACATATTTTATCAAGACTGTATTTGCAGTCTGTTAGAATTTAATTAGCTTCAAGAAAGTTTATGCTTTCTAAAGTAGTTGGTAGAATGCTCTGTTGTACTGCACTACCTGGGAAGGTGATGCAGCAAGTAATCCTGGAAGCTATTTCCAAAAACACTGTGGACAAGGAGGTGAGTGTGAGTAGTCAGCATGTATTGATAACAAGGAAACCAGGCCTGACCAAACTGATAGCCCTTTATGCTGAGATGACTGGCTTAGTGGAATCAGAGAAAGCATTGCAGGTTGTTTATGATGACTTTGACAAAGCTTTTGACAGTGTCTTCTGTAACATCCTCAACAAACTGATGAAGTATGAACTAGGTAAATGGGCAGTGAGGTGGTCCAAGAACTGGCTGAAATGCTGGGCTCAAGCTGCTTGTTGGTGGTGTACCCCAGAGGTGAGTACTGGGACCAGTACTGTTTAAAACATCTTCACTGATGATCAGGACAATGACCCAAAGTTCACCATCAGCAAATTTGGAGATGCTGAAACCTGTGAGAAGTGGTTAAGAGAGCAGATAATTATGCTGCCTTTCAGAGTGACCTCAACAGGCTAGAGAAAGGGGCTGAAGGGAACCTTTTGAAGTTAAACACAGCAGGCAGATGTTCCTTGGAAGGAATAATCCTGGGTATCATATCAGGCTGGGGAACAGCCAGCTGGGAAGACGCTTGTCAGAAAAGGCACTCCCTGTAAGTCCCACTGGACACCAAGTTGAACATGAGTCAGCAGTTTGTCCTTGCAGCAAAGGCAGCCAGCAACATCCTGGGCATGCAATAGGGAGAGTGTTTTCAGCAGATGAAGGGCAGTGATCATTTCCATCCACTCAGCACTGGTAAGACACGTTTGCAGTGCTAGGTTAGACTCTGGGCTCCCAGACCAAGAAAGACATGGACATGCTCGAATGAGTCATCCTGAAGATGATGGAATGATGAAAGCTTCTGTTGTATGAGGAGAGGCTGAGAAAGCTGAGACTTAGTCTGTTGAAAAGATAGCTCAGGGGAAATCTATCCATGTGTCTGAACACCTAGCAGTGGGGAGGAAAGATAGCAAGCCTGACTTATCATTGATGTCCAGTGGCAGGGCAGGAGGCTAAAGGTCAGAAACTGAAATATAGGAAATTCTGTTTAGTTGTAAGAAAATACTTCTTTTACTGCAAGCTGCCCAGAGAAGTTACGGAGTCTCTATCCCTAAAGATACTAAAGAACTCAACTGTACATGATCCTGAGCAACCTCCTCTTGTTGACCCTGCTTTGAGCAGGGGAGTTAAACTAGGCAGTCTCTCAGGGTGGCTGACAGACTTCACAACTCTGATTCTGTGATTTGGATAAGCAAAACTTCACTTCTGTGGAAGATGAAAAAGTAGGTTTTGTGAAGTTTCTTAGAATGAGCATCTAGGTTTTGGTGCTAATAGAAATCAGTGCTCTATTCAGGTTTGCTCAAAGTTCTGCAGTAGTCACAGAATCACAATATGGTATAACTGCATGCTATGTCAGATGCATCGAGAGAGATGTATAGAACTATTTAATAGAGTCATAGATTAGAATCACAGAATCATTTATGTTGGAATACACCCTTAAGATCACCAAGTTCAACTGTAAACCTAGCACTGCGAAGTCCACACGAAACCATGTGTGCCACGTCGTGTGTTTAAAAGACGGAGGTGTATTTTAAACAGCTCTGGGGATGGTGACTCAACCAGTTCCCTGGACAGCCTGTTCTGGTGCTTGACAACCCATTTGGTGAAGAAATTTTTCTTTTTTTTTTTTTTTTACACTTAGAAGTATGTTCTTCTCTTTGTTGTTTGATGAAGACTCAAGCTAATTATGTCTCTGACTTAAACTTTTCATTAATTAGTATAAGAATGTCACACCTTCATATTACATGAGTAGCCATTCAAATTTAAAAGCAAAGAAGAAATACATATACTTAATTTTACAGATTTGACAGTTTAGGAGAGTGTGTGTGTGTATATATATATATTTATAACTTAAATGTGTTTCAGTTTTAGGCTGAAAACTTAGAAACTGAAATATGTTTCAGAAATTATGATAGTTTTCTGTTCTCTTGTGTCTTACACTACCCCTGTATTTTGTGTGATGAATAATGGTTTCACCAGTTCACAAGGAATCCTTTTCCAGCATTTATGGTAGAGTGGCAAAGCATCGAGAACTGTTTTTTTGAAACACACAGTAAATGATACTGCTTTGTTTTAGGGAGGAGTTCACTCACCCTTGAATTATCATGTGAGGTCTAAGATTTGACAAATCTAGGATTTAGATTGTGCATTCCAGGTATTTTTATGGACTCATCATACTTGATCTGAACAGTTTTATGCCACTAATACACTTTTTAAAAGAAAATTATTCTTACTATATTGTTGTGTGTTTAATGGAAGATTGAGAAAATAAAAACTGGTAATGATTGGTTTATAGTTAATACTTGCATAAGTAAGTTAAAATTCACAGAAGAGTTTGTGTAGAGAAAGCAGACAAAGAACACTAAGTTTCAACTGAGGTATTATTTGTTAGAAACAATGCAGGAAAGGGTCACATTTGAAGTTGTTTGTTAAGTGCTAAAAAAATTTTGTGAAAATGCATGTTCAAGGATCTTTTTTATTGCTTTAACTAAGCCAGTATAAATATTAATGCAAGGCGGGTGTAGACTCTAAAGCTCATTTTCCTTTTCTTGTGGTAGGTTAAAGCAGCAACAGGTGAAGAGGTATCGGCAGAAGATCTTGGAGGGGCAGATCTTCACTGCAGGTCTAAAGAAATATTTTTCCAGAGTTAATTTCTTCATCCTTCAGACCTTCGTAGGGTTTTTTATTATTTTTGTTTTGTTTTATTTTATTATATTTAGATCTTCCAAAAACTATATTTAGATTTGAAAATTAAGATTTCCTGTGTCCTTATCTGGTGCTGATGAATCATTTTATTGTGAGTAGCATAGTTACCGTATGTTACTCTAGTTAGGATCTTGTTGCCTTCATTTACTACTTTAAAATATTTACATGTCTAATATACTGCCACATCACACATAATATGGTAAACTTTTCTGTACTGTTTAATACTGAGTGTTAGAAGGATCATACACACGGAGAAAGATTAATGAATGCATTTTGCAGATTGTATCTTTCTTAGTGTCATTTAGAACTTTACTACAAATAAGATCAAAATAGCCTGAGTTTTTTGTAAAAGAATACTTGTGCACTTTCTAGTTCTAAAATGAATAGTAAATGAAGTTAGGTATTACTGTACAAAAAATGCTTAATTTTTACTTCACTGAAGTGAACAAAGAATTCTTTTTAAGAGAAGCTGATACATTTCTGTAAACATGTTTTCTTTATAATTTAAAATTAATTTTAATTCCCATTTGTACTGTGTTTGTCATCTTTTATATTGTCATTTAGATTTTTTTATTTCTTAAAGTTGGTATTTTATGACATGTCTGCTAACTTGAATGTGCTGTTCCAAAGAAAAATTGAGGCATGGGTTTTATTTTGAAAGTAATTTCATATCAAAACATGGAGAGCTGTATTGTAGAATCTGTATTTTAAAGATAATATAAAACTTTGTAAGTCTTAAAAGTTTTTAAACCTCAGATTTTCGTTGTCAGATTATTATTTTTTATAAGTCTTCCTATTGCTGTTATTATTTACATACAGAAAATCTGGTGTAACAGATCACTATGCTTTGGATGACAGTCATGCACTTCATCTAGCAAGGAAAGCTGTAAGAAATTTAAATCTCCAAAAGAAAGTAGACGTAAGTGTATAGGGTCTGAAACACTGCATTGTTTTAATTAGGAATGCTTTTTTTTGCCTGGTTTATGCAACACATTTTTTGTCTCTGACTTTAGACACTTTGAAAATGGGAGGTATGGTTCTTGTCCTTAAAGATTTCTCTAGTGTTTCGGTTCTGCAAT